CCTCAGCTCTGCTCCCGATATCTCTATCTCCTCCCCCCGCGGCGCAGGGGCAGGGAATGGGGGGTGCAGTCAGTGCTGCCGCTGCTGCCATCTTCGGTGGGGGGAAAGAACTTCTGCTCCAGTGTGGTCCCCCTCTCACAGGAGACAGTCCTCCACAGCTTTCCTCCAACTTGAGTCCCTCCCATGGGCCGCGGAGTTTCCCTAGCTGCTCCAACGTAGGACACCAATTTTCTCTGACTGGATTCCCTCCCACGGCTGCAGCCCTTCCTGAGCTGCTCCAGCGTGGGACACCCCCTGCACGCTGCAATCCTCCCAGCGCTGAACTACAACAGCAGGGGCTGCTTCTTCCCACAGGATCCCGGCCTCCTTTGGGCGCAGCCACCTTAAATGGCCAAGTGGAGCCACCCACAGACCCATATATCAGTGTCTGCTCCACCACAGACCTTCATGGGTGGCAGAGGGGGCAGCCCTGCTGTGTCACCACAGGATACAGGGGGGTCTCTGCTCTGGCACACCTCCCCCCCTCCTTTCTTCCTCCATTCCTCCACTGACCTTGGTGTTCACGCAGATGTCACAACTCCTCCTCACAAGTCCAACAACTCCTCCCAGGTCCCTTCTTAAATACATTATCGCAGAGATGCAGCTGATTGGCTCGGCCTTTGTGCAGAGGTGGGTCCGACTTGGAGCCAGGGGAGCTTTGAGGGGGCCACCCCTGTAGCCCCCTCCCCTGCTACCCAAAACCCCCACCACTCACTCTAGTCCAGGACACAAGGCGACAGCAAAAAATAAGTTTCTTGCTGGAGCTGCTTTCGTGTATTTTTTAAGCCCTGACTTGGACTCTGAGGTGGGATATTTGAGTATTAACGAGGCGTGATGCTGTTAGCCTCAGGTGGGGATTTTCTCCATTAAAAAATAGAAAGTGTTTCGGGGCCATGGGTGGGAAAGACAAGAAAACCTGAAGACACTGAACACACGCTTTTTTCAGCCTCTGGGGTTGGCAGGATGAGGCTGCCTCTGCAAGAGGTGGCCTCTGCTTCCCCCTGAAAGCAACGGCTGGGACAGGGGGCTGCGACACACCCCTGCTTCCTAACACTTCCCCTTCCCCTGCAGTTTAATTATATTTGACTTCTTGGCTAAAGATGGGGTAATTATTTCCTGCGAGGTGGACACAGTCCAGATGCACTTCTCCTTTCATAACTGCACTAGCGTTATCATAAATCCCACAGAAATGCCATTTCCCAGGTCCCAGGAGGCCATCTGGATGGCGGCAGAGCTTTGCCGAAGACTGCTCGGTTTCCCCTACGGCTTTATTAAGTTTGAGCAGGTTTTATTTAGTTTCTTGTTATCCATCCACAGGCAACAGTTGGAGAGACACAGCAACATCTTTTTTTCCTCTGGTAGATAGATGAGGGCTAAGCAGGCGCTGGGTCCTCTGCAAAATCCAGGTGCCCAGAGCTGGTTTATGCAGCTCTGCTGCAGACATTTCCACCACTCGGGATTTATTGGCTGGATACAGCCCAATCTACGAGAGGTTAAAAAGAATCAAAGAGGCTGGTCCCTAGGTATACTGAGCCCTGAGCATCTGTTTCCAAAACAGAATGTAAACAGTTTTATTGTGGCAAGGATTTATTCGTTTTTACTGCCTTGTGTCATACGGCCAAAGGACAGGAGAGCACTTTTTCTCTCCTCATAAAGCAGGGTGTGTTTCAGACTCAGACATTTACATCAAGCAAGTGCATGGCTCCTTTCCCATCTTTCTGACTGTCCCGCAGTCACAAATTTGCAATTTCCCTGCCTTATGACTGCCTTGTTCCAGCGCTGGCAAATATGAAGCAGCCAGAGAATATCATTTTGCTGTTTTGTTTTGGGGTTTTTTTTTCTGCAACAAAATACACTGCAGCGGAACTGAAGAGAAGAACACATCCATGACACAAGTGGAAATGTCTCATTTCAACTTTCCCCTTCCTTTCCAGCAACCAAATCCTGGTCTTGGAGGTAATGGGGAGATTTATTGGTTGGTTGCTGGCCCTAATCACTTGACCTTTAAAAAGCCACCACCTGGGATTCAGAGATGTCTCAAGGAGATGTGAGAGCTCAGCAGCAGCCACATGCCTTTCATCAAGCTTTCAGTAAGAAGCGAAGCCTGTTTCACATGTGGATTCTCAGGAGCCTTCACAAAGCAGCTGAGCCCTGATCCAGTTTCCCCTTGCTGAGTAATCCAGTCCTCCTCTGCTGGCCACCTCTTCTTTAAAATTCTGTAGGAGCACCACCATCTCCTCCCAATGTGGTTAAAAGGAGAGAAAAAGCTTAAAACTTAACACAGAGGGAAGAGGGTGGCTGAAAACCAGCTGGCGCCGTTCTGCCCCTGCCTGCACAAATTGTCCCAGGTTTTACCAAAGGGTTTTGGAAGGACCCTAGAAGAGTGTAAAAAGTGAATCTTTGTGAAAGGTTAATCCCCTCACAACAGCGGCCCTTCTCCAAAATGTCTCTGGGTTCCTGAAGCGGAATAGAGCTTTGGAGGTGCTGGCAGAGGCACTGTTCAGTTTAAGCCCCTCCATCAGGGCAGGTTACTTTGCTCTCTGCTTGCAAACCCAGTTGAAAAGGGTCTGTTCTTCCCTCTATCCATAGCCCAGCAAATTCACCTTTCCTTGGGAAGGTTATTCCATCCAGATGATTTTCCTGCACTGGTTTAGACTCACGCTGGTAAAAATCCACATGCAGAAAGGTTTCTGTTCTCAAGCCAAGCTGAATTCTGTACCTCTGGTGTTAAATAGGACAGGACCGGTCTCCAGGACTAACAAAAACGGCCCTGCTGGGGCAGGACAAGAGGTTTAACCAAACCAATGGGTTTTTCATCATTGTGCAACATAACACTGTGGCACAGTAGGAGCTCTGGAGGTCAGAAGTGGATACACACAGAGAGCATAGCACCGCTCAGCTGCAAAATACCATGGGCCAGATGTACCTTGTGGGTCGGGATGTCCCTACGCAGCCGATTGCCAGAAACAGGGAGGATGTATGTGGATAAGGCTTGTCCAAAACCCACCAAATTCCCCGTGCAGGTCCAGGACCTCTGCTCCAAGCCTCACTGGGGAGAGCTGGGCTGACCCCATGTGGTCATGGCCTTGTTATGACATATTATTTTTAAAAAGACCTGACTTTTCAGTTTACTTAGGTAAAATGAAAAACCTACCTCACACCTGTAAAATCTTCCCATCAAGGAAAAGGTACCGTGGAGGGAGTTAATCTAAACACCCGTTTGTAATTTTTCATGCAGTAGAAATGTGTCTGCACTCCCAGTTTCCCTGTTTAACCAGCCAAAGAAGCGCTTCCCCGTTTCGTGCACAGACACAAGGTATGGTGTCCATTTTTCAGCATGGAGGGGACCTTCCTGGTCCTCCTAATCCCTCAAAGCAAATAGAGAAGGGACAAGAGGGGAAAGCTCACACCCAGTTTGTGCCTTTCCCTCACAATAAAAGGTTAATAGTCGCGGTGATTCACCCGCGCAGCCCCCGGCCCTGGCTGGGCTGGAGAAGCTTGGGGTCAGCATCGCCCCCATATTTTGGGTGTGCCTGAGCCCAGGGAGACTGGCGTGTGTCATCTGGTCACTCTGGGCCCGAAGTAAAAACTAAGTAATGTTGATTGCTTCCACGGTAACAGAGCGTGATTCATTCTGAGGGTAAAGTAACCGGGAGGAAACATGGAAAATGAAAATCATGTCTCAGAGGCACGTTGTACAATTATCTTGTTCAGCAGGCCTCCTGCCCCACGCTACATGCGTGCCTTGACCTCAGCTATTTATAAAACGGTCTCTTGAGATGACTTCTGTTTTGTTTTGTTTTTTTTTTTTCTGTTGAAAAGGAAGAAAACTCCTCACTCGTGCCCCCTGCCAGCCTCGGAGGCTGAACAAGGCCCATCCCAGCACAGGACGGCAGGTCTTGTTCAAGGGGGGTGATGTAGCTTCCAAAAACCATCCTCCAGAGATTAGAACTGCCAAAGTGAGGGATGTTTTCGTGACAAAAGTTGCTGCCACCTGCAGCTCCTCAGGAGAAAGAGGAACCTTTGTATAGTCCTTTCATCTGAGTCGTCCCTCCTCAGATAGCCCGAGCCCCTCCTGAGCTGCAGCTGGCTCTGGATTGAAGAGAGCAGCCATTCAAAACCACCAAGCAGTTTCCTGGAGGAACTCTGGAGGGCAAACCCCAGTGAAAACACAGGGAAACTAATGCAGAGTAGCCAGTCTGTGATCTGCCTAGTGATCTGTTGCTTCTGAAAAGCATCATACAGATCTTCACTGACCTCGCGTGCTCTCTGGGCCTCAGTTTTACCTCTCCCCAGGAAGAAAGTCCTGCAGCCAGTCAAAACAAATACCAAAATCTTGATGGGAAAAGGCAGCTGGCTGAAAAAACCCTCACCACGCTGCAGAGAAAGCAGGCATGGATGAGAGGATAGCGCGATCCAGCAAAGACCTGCTCCACGGAGCAGGATTCCCCCACAGCCCACTGGAAAAAAAAAAAAAAAAAAGTCATTCTCAGTGCTGAGGGGCACTGCCTGCTCCCTTGCCACCCCGCCTCGCTCCCGGGGGGATGCTAGTTGAAGGAGGCGGAGGGATTTTCTCTCGGGGTCAAAATCCTGTCAGGGCAAGCGCCCCCGAGGTGGAACGGGGCAGTGGGACCTGAGAGAAAACCGCCGAGGCCGGGCAGGGGCAGCGACCAGCGGCCGCCATTTTGCCGCCGACTCCCGAGGCCCGCGGCGCGAGGAGGCAGGAGGGGCGGGGCCTCTCCCTCGGAGGGGGCGCGTTCACAGCGCCACTGCCCAATCCGCGAGCGGGGAGGAGGGGGCGGGGCTTTCCCCGAAGGTCACAAGGCCGGCGCGGAGGCGGGCCGCGGGGGGGGGGGGGGGGGGCGGATGATTGGCTGATAGTTGGATGATTGGCTGATAGTTGGCTGATTGGCGGATTGGCTGATTGGCGGATTGGCTGCGCGCTGGTGTGCGTGAGTGGCGGGCCCCGCCCCCCCCCCCCCCGCTGCCACGTCCGTGCGGCGCCTGCGGCGGAGCCGGTGCGGGCGGCGGTTGGCGCCGCGGCCTCGTGCGCGGGTGAGTTTCTTGGGGGCGAGGACGAACCACACGCGCGGTTCCTCAGCGACCCCCGCTGAGAGGCGGGACTGCGGGGACCCCGCTGAGGGGGCTGGCTGTGGGGTGAGGGACCCCCACCGCTGAGGGGGACACCCCCCCACCCCCCCCCTGCTGAGGGGCTGCGTATGAGGTGAGGGGGAGACCCCCCCCCCGCCGTTGAAAGGCTGTGGGGTGAGGTGAGGGGGACCCCCACTGCTGAGGGGCTGTGGGGTGAGGGGATCCCCCCCCCCCCCGCCGAGGGGCTGTGTGTGGGGTGAGGGGGACCCCCCCACTGAAGGGCTGAGTAGGGGTCTCACCCCCGAGGGGCTGCTTCAGCTGACGGGATATGTGGGGACCCCCTGAGGGGCCGTGTGGGGGCTGCCTCTCGCCCCACGGGACAGGGCTGGGCTCTGTCACCTCGTCCCCCGCTGCCGGGGACATGGCAAAGGGCTTGGCCAAGCACCCATCGCCCCCCCAACCCCTGGGGAGGGGATGGGGGGGGTGTCACCCTCAGGCAGGCAGCTCATCTCGGGGGGACCCCCAGCTCCCTCCCCACCAGCTTCCCGGGGCAGAACAGAGGGCGGTGGGATGGGCGAGAGGGACCAAGCGTGTCCCGTTAGCGCTGGCACAGCCCCCGTCCCGCTACCGACACGGGTGGGGAGCTCGGGATGCTCCGGGGGAGGCTTTGGGGGTGCACCGGGGCCAGCACCAGCTTGGTGTAAGCTGCACCGGCTTGGTGTAAGCTTGGCAGGCCTGGAGGGGCAAGAAGTGACCTATCGAAACAGGCCAGAGCTCTTCTTCCTCGCTGTACGTTGATGCTTTTTTTTTTTTTTTTTTTCTAGTGGCCAATGCGTTTCTATTAAAGTCAGTCATATTCCTGACTCCAGAAAACACGTGAAGCTTCAAATTTCTTCCTGCTCTAGCTGTGCTAGATATAGTTTGAAAAATAACTTTTAGTTTTTCCTTCATGTGCTTTTCTACTGCTCTGTGCACTTGGCATTCTGTAACCCTGAGCTGAAATTAATTAGACTGATTCTGTACAGACAACTGCTTGAATGTTTTTATGAACACTCATGAATTCTAGAAAGGGTTTGTAATGGGACAGAGTAATGGCAACATTAGAATAATAGAGATGTAGGAACGGAGATACCAAATGTATTTCTAGAGGCAGAGAGACTTACGTTTTGTCTAGCAGTGACATAATTAATATGCCAGCGATGGGCATGCAGTCCTTCGCTCGTATTGGCGTGATCTGATCACTAAAGCTCAGGTCTGGGACGTGGAAGACCTGGATTCTCACTCCTGACTCTCCCATCTATGGAATTGTTTTTCCTGCTGTTTCATTCTGAAAACTCATATAGGATGGGAATTTGTATTGCTGTTTAATTGCTATAACAGGAATTTTTTTACTTTGATATACAAGATTGAGATAAGAATGGGGGTTTAAAGGCCAATGTATGCCAGCAGGTGGCATTAAAAAAAAATTTTGTGTGTTGTTTTTTTTTTTTTCCCCGAAGTTTTTTTCAGTTGGGTTTCCAGAGCTGCCTTCAGTTTTGAGGCTCAGATGCTGCGCTGAGATGCCTCATAGCTAATATGCTCTGTACTTCCTCTGAGCAGTTTAACAGGGCTGTAAGATGTCTAATTTTGAAAAGTATTCATCCCAAATGCGTGCTTCTTTCTGATGTTTATTTGGCCTGTCCAACAGTGTGTGACTACCCTTTTATGGTCCAGCTAAGTTAATTTGAAAATGCATAAAGAACTTAGTTTCAGAAGTTCCCATGATATGCTCTGTTCCTACCAGAAACCCGGCTAGGTATTCCACAGGTGACAAAGAATTATTTATCTATATCTAGCAATTAGGAAAGTATATCCCTGTGCTTCCTCTTATCCTTAATTCTGAGTAATAGACCATTCCCAAATCTCTCGTTAATCATTAACAGGTGTCTCACTGTCATCTTGGCAGTTTTGTGCTTTACCCGTTAATGGACAACGAGGCGCTGCGCTTCACGGCTGAGGCAGCGTCAGGTTTTGTAAATGCACAGAGCAAACGTGACTGTATGAGAGAGGCAGTACGGGCTGTAAGTGTGTGTGCAGGCTGGTGTATCATCTGTGTTTTCATATGTGTGATGTAGTGCCTCTTGGCTGAGACACTAAATATTTATGTGATGGGACTGGTTAATAAAAGTGTTCTGCTCCTACCGCCACTAATGCAAATGATCTCCTCTGTCCTCGGTAAAGAGTACGTTGGGGAGGTTTGTTGAGAGTGTGAGATGCTTTCCTTTTCGGAGGGCTATAGAGGTTAAATATCCTAGTCGATGTCTTATCTGTTTGTTTGGGGTTTTTCCCCCAAGAGAAAAAACTTCTCAGGTGACCACAGAAACGCCCCATCTGTGGACTTGAGATAAGGTGCGCGGTGTCAGCGCGTGCGCTCTGGGTCTGACCCAGCGGCCTAGCCCGGCGAAGGTTGAGGACCTTCAATTGCAGATAAAGTGAACAGCAGTTCTGGTTTCATTCACCTTTCTTCACGTCCCTGAGGAACATCACACGGCATGATATAATCAGAGGAAACAGCACATTTAAAGATTAAAACAAGAGCAAACCAGAATGTCCCTTACCCATGTCCCTTCTGTTCCAGAACACCCGTTGCAGCCATGATGCCTGTTGCCACTGTGATGCCGGATGACACACCGATGTTTGACCCAAATATTCTACATGAACTTGACTGGAGCGAGAACACGACGACATTTTCTCCTGCTATTTCTCCTCTAGATCCAGGAGATGGCCTAGTTTTGAGACCACTTTGCACAGCAGATTTAAATCGAGGTAGGATCCTGTTTAACAATCACCACAAACAAAAACTGGGTGCTGAACTAGATAATATGTATTTCTGCTTGATCTCTCACTAGATTAGGATTGCTCATTTTATCCGATTTGGGTTATTTTTATCAGTAAGCAACTTGAGCACTTAGCACTGTGGATTGGTGCTATGCTAGGTGACCCTCAAAATTGTTTCTGGTGTTTAATAGCCTCAAAATTTAAGGCAAGTCTTCCAAATAATGCACAGCTTCCTATTTACCACAACTTTAGACAGGGAGTACAGTTGTGCATATACTGTTTCCTTTAGTATAAAAGTAACGTGAACCGACATACCCCTCTTAGTACGCAGAGACTTCCTCAATTCTGTAATTTGGATAAAAAGGTTGTTTCTGAACATAGAGCTTAATATTGCGTAATTTTAGGCTTATACTTTTCTTTCTTAAACGTATGCATCCTCTGCACTCAAGCTGCAGTTTGCTGCCGATGCATTAGCTGATCCTTCAGCGTTGCTCAAGGCGGGAGTTTGGTTTTAAGATGACAATCTAGTTCCACGATACGCAGGGCGCAGGCTTTCACCTGCAACTGCACTGGATGGTGTCACGGGGATGTTAACTCTCCAAACAGCCGTGCCGGGTTGTTCTGCACTATTTGGAGCTAACTGTGTGTCTCTGTCCCTCACTGAGAGTTGTTTGTTCCCCGCCCCTCCCTTCTTTTATAACAGGCTTTTTTAAGGTTCTGGGTCAGCTGACTGAAACTGGAGTTGCAAGCCCAGAGCAGTTTATCAGTAAGTATATCGTTATTTCTTGGCATTTCTACAGAGGTGGTTGGGAACCAGAGGATACTGATGCTGACAGCAAAGCTGCTTGGGTGTGAGGCTCCTGCCTGCCCGATGCCAGAGGGATTTATCAGCTCGGCTCCCCTGAGGCAGCCTTTGGCACTCAGCCCTGGAGCCAGTGGCAGCTATCCCGAAGGGCTTCTTGGCTGGGACGGGTTTGAATTGTGTACCTGCTTTCGAGACTGAGCTTTTTGAGACCGACCTGGCAGAAGGGACTTGCTGGGTGATGGCTTGTTCTGGCTGAATTATTGCAGCACCAAGAGCGAGGCAGAGGCTTGGCTTTGATCACAGCTCGGCAGCGGCCTGAGCTTGCTTCACTGCTTTGGCTGAGATGTAAGAAAACTTAGAGGTGCCCATCTGCAGAGATGCTGGGGCCGGAGGGTTCTCCCAGCAGCTGAGGAAAAGGCATTTGTTTTTTTTTTAATTTCTGCTTTTGCCTGGTTCTGACTCCAGGATTTTCAGGTTCTGGGGCTTTGGGCACATCTTCCTTTGTGATCCTGAAGCCCGCAGGAATCTGCATGCAGAATCTGTTGCGAGTGTTAAGACTTCGCAGCAATTTAATCTGAGATTAACGCTGGCTGCTCTGCTGTCGGTCTGCTCCCACAGAAACCTTTGAGCACATGAAGAGATCTGGAGATTACTACGTTACTGTCGTGGAAGACACAAATCTTGGACAGATTGTTGCTACGGCAACGCTGGTGATAGAACATAAGTTCACTCACTCTTGTGCAAAGGTATGTTCTCCTGCTGCAGCTGTAAAGTGTGGAAAAGGATCCTGTCCCCCAACTCCCCTCTGCATGTTATTTTTATGGTGTTACTGTGAGATGCAAGTACCTCCTGCATTTGAAAAGGACCTCCCGTCCTTGGGTGCTCAGCTAAATAGTAAAAGAAAGCTTTGGCTTCTCTTAAGGAAAAAGAACAGTTTGATGTCTGTCTCGGTCTCCCTCCCAGTGAGCTTTTGAACTAGTCAGACTGGGTTCTGCCCGAGCAGATGGCTGAGGATCTCGCTGCTGTGGAGTCCCAGCTAGACGTGTGGAAACAGGGAGCTAGAGAGAGGTACAAATCCCTCGGCGGAGAGAGGCTGTGGTGCGACTGCAGCTCCTGCTGGGGAGTGGAAGGGGCACAGCCACCACCCCAGGAGTTGTATCTAAATAGACAGCAGAAAATCCAAGCAGGAAACAAAGCAGCGGGGGGACTAACACAACAGCATCCTACTCGGCTAACACTTGCCTGTATTTTCACAGAGAGGACGGATAGAAGATGTAGTAGTAAGTGGGGAGTGCCGAGGAAAGCAGCTTGGTAAACTGTAAGTATTTCGTCACCTTTGCCAGTCAAGAGGAGGCAGGCAGCAAGCCCTTGGCCAGTTCATTTCTGTCCCCCCACCTTACCACGCTGATGGGCGCCAGCAAACCAGCTGGCAAAGGCGGCTCAGCAGAGCCCTGAGAGCAAGATTTTTAGCTCTGCAAGGCAGATCCTCCCCAGCCAGACCCGTGAAAAGAATTTAGCCAGAATTTATCGCTAGCTGGCAGAGTGCAAGCTGAGGTTCTTATAACAGCAACATAAAATTGTCTGCAAGACGCTGGTACTTTGTTATTTTTTTTTTTTTCCTTGGGATAGCAACTATTCTGTGTAGTAGAGGAAAATGCAGTGTGCTGTAAAACTTCAGTATTGTAGCTCTGGTAACTTCAGCTAATTAAATGTTAATTGATCCAGTGTTCAAGGGTGTTTAACTGTTGGTTTTCTGTTTGTTTTATTTTTTTTTTTTTTTTTCAGATTAACGTCCACCCTGACATTGCTAAGTAAGAGACTGAACTGTTACAAAATCACACTTGAGTGTCTGCCAAAAAATGTGGATTTCTATAAGAAGTTTGGCTATTCAGTATCTGAAGAAAACTACATGTTTCAACGGTTCTTTAATTAACAACTCCTAGTCCCTTTTTTTTTTTTGTGAAGACTGTTGGTGGAGGAGCTTGTGCTACAAACATTCTCTTCGTGAAAAATTTATATAGTTCATTGCTGCAAATATAACGATCCCTATAAATAATGAATATCAAATGTGTAAATCCTGGAAAAAAAAAATACTGACATTTTAGAAGTGTCCTCTGGGTTAGGAAATAAGCGCTTAGAACTAATTTTTACTACTGTTCAGTCTAAGTGAAGCTTTTTTGTTCTAGCTGTTACAAAGGACTCTTGTTAAAGGGATGGTTTTTAACCAAAGGTATATATTTTTATCTCAAATTTTTTCTTGCATTGTATTTTTCTAAAGGTTTGCGCTTCTTTTCTTGGTAGCCAAAGTACAGCTGCTGGGACTGTTCTGCTGTCCGTACTTCACGGAGGGATGGCGTAGCTCGGGTAGGGATGATGCTTCTCCGCAGAATTAGCGATACAGAACGGGCATTTCTTCTGCTCTTTCCATGAAAGCTCACTGAAGCGCTGTTGATGTTAGTGCACCTGAAGTTTTATAGGCACTATTTTCCAAAACAGAATTTGTTACTGTTTGTGCGGGTCGGGGAGAATCCTTATGGGCTGTGCTGAAGCTGACGTTCCGAGTCTAATAATGGATGTGTATTTCTCACTGCAGGGCTCCTGCACTTTAGCTGATAACTTCTGTTTTCAGGATAATTACTTGTTTTCTGACAAAAAAAAAAAAACAAAAAAAACCAACAAACAACCTGATGGTTTGCGACGGGGCAAAGGTAACTGGGAAACTGGAATGTCTGAGGATACAGCCTGTCTTGAGTGGGGCTGAGGCTAGTGCTGGGTGGGAAGGTGGTTTGGGGTGGGCAGTAATTCCTTCAGCTGCTGTACGTGAGCTCCCGAGGGCTGCGGTCTGGCTGGGGAGGGCTTGTGCCTATGGCACAGCAAAGGAGCAGAGAAATCCCTGGTCCCGCGGGAGCACGGCCGCTTTGCAGCGCCCCTCTTGCTCTGAGACTGGAGAAATGATTTTAGCACTTTTGCCAGCGATGGCAAGCAAATAATGTACAAAGCCCTGGTTTCAACAGTAGTGTTTTGTGCAAAGAGTGACAAATCCTACGTCGATGAATAGGGCATTATAAATACGTGAAGGTTCGTACAGAACAGCCAGTCTTGTTTGTGAACAGTTAGGCCTTACAAAATGTTCTTTCATTGTGGTGTGGAGAGCTACTTTAAGCTGTGGTGGGGGTTCTATTTAATGTTCCTGATGGTACTCCACTCAATATCGTGTTTCCTTGGTGATGTCTGTTTTATTTATTGATTATTTTTAAAAAAAAAATAATTAATCTTTGTTTAAGCTGAATAAATGAAGACTGCGAACTGTATCTTGTCTGATTTTCATGGTGTTGTGTCTAGCAGTAGGTAGGCAGAGTAAGTGTGTACCTGTTGTCTTTCAGAACACTACCACCTGCTCCACAGATAGCTGTTTTCCTTTCCCTCAGTTGAAAAATACCACTTTGTTGAGATTCCACATTGATTTTAAGCCTGTGCCTGCATATTTGCATCTTTGCAAGTCTTCAAAGGCAATTCTGGGCTGGTTATGGCGGTGGAGCCCTTGCTGCAGCCCTGCATGTTTTGGGGGGCAGGCTGGAGTTTCTAACCCCTCACACCCCTGCAGCAAAGCCCATGCACCCCGTTTCCTTAAGGGGGTTCCCCCCTGAGAGCTGGGCTGCTCCCAGCTGTGCTCTGCTGACAGAAGATTGAAGTGGCTTGAGCCTCAACTCTGAACTAATGGTATAAAATCGGCTACTGCTTTAGGCTGGGCCCAAATGACTGAGGTGGCTTTTCTTGCCTTTCACAGTTCTAATTAATTCTGAATTTCCACTAATTTGAAGTGGATTATTGGAATTCCATGATATCTACACCATCTAACTAGCTTCAGGCCCTCATTAAGAGTTAATAAAAAGAAGAGGAGCAGGTGATTGTGTACCCAGCTTAGATCATTGTGAAACAAATGAATTGGGTTGAAAGCTTGGCTTCGTGGCTGCATGACAATGCCTCTGCTGGGCAGAATCCAGCTCCTCAGCATCCCTTTAGCTTTGAAGAGCTCTTTGTTCTGTCCCAGAGGTGACATTCCTGACCTTGGCAGGCCACCACCCCTACGGAAACAGCAGAGGAAAGGTGCTGTCACCTGCTGTGTCACAGCCAGCTAACGGCCGGGCTCCAGGAGTTCTGCAGGAAGAAAACTGGCCCCCGTCTTTCATGAGGAAAGAAAGGATTCGGGCTGGAAGCATCAACCATCGTTTAACTGCCAGATTCTCCAGAGGTTTAATGTTACCTCCTCTTTGAGATTTCATTTTTTGGGTAACAGTTTTCTTGCCATGTGGAAGAGATCTCCAACTTCTTCGCTCCGCTTCCCCCAGGCTGGAAAGGGAACTGCAGCACCTTAATGTACAGCTGTGGATCCCCAAAAATCTGGGTCCTCCCTGCCTCTCCCAGGGCAGAAAATCCAACCTCTACTGCTACTCTAAGGACACAGCAAGGGCCTCCTGCTGCCAATTGCCACCTTTGGTTTAACTGCAGAAAGCAAACAGTAATTGAAATACCTACTGGCAGTAAGCTAACTGAGATATGTCAACAAGTTTTAAATAAAAGACTTAATAATAGGTATGAGGAAAACTAAATCTGAGAATCCCTGAGGATGGGAGAGGCTGTTATCTGCAAGGCAGACAGAGCAGAATGACTGTAGAAGGCAGTAGTGGGGGGTAATGGTATGAAAAAAGTAAGATTGGTGGAAAAGATTTAGTCATGAAGCTTGTTAGTTTGTGAAGCAGGCTCCCCAGGGAAGCACCAGGACCCCGGTGAGGGAACAGAACCAGACTACACATGAACAAGCCTCTCTGGCAGGGGATAGTTCGATGAAGCAAGAGTGTTCTTCCATCTGTGTTTCATCTCTACCCCCTTCCCCGGGGAGCTGCAACAGAAAGCAATTTTGTGCAGAAGTTCTAGTTCCCAGCCTTGTTTCATCAGAAGCTTGGAGCTGGCAGCCTTTGATGAGCTGTGCAAGACAGACGGACATCCCCAAACCTCACTGCAGCCAGGCAGTAGCCTCGTGGGGTGGGAGGTGAAACAGAATGTATTTCCCAACAGCCCCAGAAGCATTCCTGTAAAGAGAGTCAGTTAACAGCACGAAATAAACCCTACAACTGCAAAGCCAGCACTGCACGCTGGGCCGGTCAGCTTAGCACTGACACGGTGTAGGGCTTAAGGGGATAAGAGCAACACTTCCTTTTTCCAAGCTGAAAGTTTCATAACTCATCGTGCATTTCTTAAAAGGTTTTGTTTTGTTTTTTTTTCTGAAGGATTCACACTGCTCCATCACCGACACAGGTGGCAGAGAACAGCCAGCAAAGGGCAAGTGCTGCTGAGGGCGGGTTCAGCGCCCCTGAAGCCGTGACCCCTCCCTGCATTCCACCTGACAAGAGGTTATTGGGCTGTAAAGCCTCACCCCCATGGCCTGGCTCAGCAAAAAGCCCTGACTTCCTCCAGGATTTCCTCCTCAGGTGTCACCAACCTCTCTCCTAGCAGCCTGCTTTAACCCAGGCAGTAGTTTCCAAACCAGAATCTGCTACCCACTTGTAAGAGCCTTGACACAGGCCAAGCGCCCGGTCTGGCTCTGGAGGGACTGCCCCTCAGCAAGCCTTCCCCAGAGCTGCCAGACAAGGCAGAGATCAGTGACTAAGCAAAGATCAACAAGTCCCAGGCGTGGGCAACTTGCCTTGGATATACAAAGTGAGGCAGAACTTCTACAAAGTAAACAGGCTCCTACAAAGTAAACAAGGTGCTGGACAATCCTCCAGCAAAAGGTGGCATCAGAAGAGATCCTCACGGTAAAAAATGGCTTTAAATTTGTGCCTTCAGATTCAAAGGTATGTGCCCTCAGAGTCCCCCACAGCGCAGGCTGCAGCTCTGGCTGTATCAGAGTACAGGGAGATGCTGGATGCTCGGATCCCCAAGTGACTTTTATAAATTGATTCAACTCTGGAGCCCACCTGTTCCCTGTTACAATATAGCCTAATTACAAGCTCAGATTTCCCAAATACCCAAGTTCTTCTGACAGCTTTGTAATTTGCTCAGCCACCCCAATGCTCTGAAGGAGCCACCACTTCATTCCTGTCTTTCATGCAACAGACTGGCAAATAAAGCAGAGGAGCAGAACTGAGACTGTACTTGTACAACCCGTGGTCATCACGGTGCTTCTGAGAAGGGAGAAGAGCTAAAGCTGCAGGAACTGCCTTTGCAATTCCCAGTTTGAAGCTTTAAAGCACTTATCAGTGTGTGGCCTTAATTGACTAATGCTTTAGAAGAGCTGAGGTGAATCCTTTAGGTCTTGATACTACTATGGCCAGTGCTTTGGACCTCACTTTTCAAACACCGACCTATTTTTTACCTCAAATGATGTGACTGTGGTCTTACAAAGGGAACAACTCCTTCAGTATCAGTTCAGAGATGCACTATTCTAGTAGACAGATGAACCATACTGCCTCATTCAACTTCAACCAACCTCTAACTAATTTAACAAGCAGCTTTTTGATGCTAGCTAAAAATTCAGTCTTGATGTGTGTAAAATCAGTAGCTGCCCTCTGTATTAATTCAGCACATCAGTCTTTTAAGTAATTAATTGGTACTCTCTTAAGCTTTAACTTGCATAAAACAAGGGTGAGATTTTTAGAAGAGTATTTTGTCTTAAATGGGTCTGAATGTCAGTCTCAAAATAATTCAGTATATGAGGTTTTATAACAAGGTAGAGAGTTAATACTGTTTAGATCACTGCTGTTGCTCAGTTGCCAGTAGTGCAGTTCATAAAGCACGCTTCTACAAGCATGACCATAATATATACTGAGAACAAGGTGAAGTTTTAGCAAACTTTTTCTTTACTAAAGTCTCTTGTTATAAATTACACAAATAACTTTATAAACAACCCCCCCCGCTTACATTTTGTTTAAAGTAATAACTTTATATCATACAAATAAAGAAATTTCAAGTATGAAAAGTGCATTATTGCAATAATACCTCTTTGCAAGTCCAAAAATCTTGGTTTAGAATAAAACTGTAAAGTGTAAAAAAGGAGTAAAACAATCAGTGCCATCTATTCATTCAAGAAGTCCAACATCTTAAAAATGATGCTTAGTGTGTTGCAGAGGCAGATTTACATCTGAAAGCAACATGTAATTGAAAAGAAGCTATGTGTGTGTTCATTTTGCATTATTAATTCTTTTCCCCTAGTTTTCTTCACCTTTCTTGGCAGGAATTCACAATACAAACAGTGCTTGCCCTCAGATATCATCCATTCTGTGCTGCTGCCACTTGCATTGTTCCAAGTTCTTCATCCTCTTCATGCATTCGCTTTAAACTTCCTGCAAGAAGCCAGAGGAAGGAGGACACATTTGAAAAGATCAGCTCTAACAACACGCAGCTGTGAGTAGGACTACAGGGCAGTTGTTACTCTCTTCTTGCAGGGACTCTACCCTTTGAAGACATCCAGCTTTTGGACAGCCAGTTGCTGACAGCACTCTTCTTCCCTCACACTTTTCCACATGGAATAGAAATTTCCTAGGATCCACCATTTTTTGCATTCCTTTTACATCTCTCCCCAACCTCCATTTCCACTGACCTTTAGCAGGGGTTGCTACTGGCACACCTCTATATGATCAAGTTAACATTTTTTACACGCCCCAATCCCCTCCTTAAAGGCACAGCAAAACTTTTTCTCAGAGCAACTGCCTTGATTTTAAGGGCAGCAATTATGTCGTGAACAACGGCTGCTTTCAACCTGCCACTCTTGATTCCTCTAGGGAAGTCAGGGTTTGGTTTTTTTTGAAGGACAGGGAGAGGCAGGGCCCTTCTCCAGTATGGTCTGCAAGTGCAGACACCACCACAGGAAAGTTCAACCACAGGAGAACAGAGTATTTCAGTACCACCTACTTCAGTCTGAACGTAGCTCGCACACCAACCCCAGCCATCCCCTTCCCAAAAGTTCGGGAGTCCCTGTTGCTGGAGGATTACTTCGGGAGTGCCAAAGTCACCTCACAACACCAGGTCGGGCAGGAGGCACCACACACAACAGGAGAGGCTTCTGACCTGTGGTTCCAGGTGGAACTGAGAGGGATCTCTCCAACTGCAGTGGTGACACCATCTGGATGGTTAATTTTGCTAGATAGATGGCTTCATATTCCTGAAAAAGTTTAATAACGCATACTGCTATTAATCTGGCATAATGCTCTGTAAGGATGAGAAGGACTAATTCAAAGAGTTCACCAAAGAACTAAAAGATACTGAAGAGTATCTAAAGAGTATCTTATAGTAAGGCAGAGATGTTAGAGGA